AGAAATGGAATGCCCCGATTGCCTCTGCAGCCCTTGCATAATTGTTCGGGGCTCTGTCAGAGTGGGCGAAGGCCAGCGACCATCTCCAAAGAACTCAGGAGTTCGGAAGGTGTACTACCGCAAGTTTTGGGGCTGCTTGGCTAATTTAGGCGCTTGGCGTTGCCCGGCCTACTTAGAAAAGAAGTGGAACAGCGGCCAGCTCAACGTCCTCACCAAGCGGGAATTCATGCCGAAATCTGTCCTTGAACACGTGCGAGATTTGTACCCGAACCCGGCCGGGATTCGCCAAAATTCCTAATTAATCTATGAAACAAACAATAAAAAGAGGGAGGCTTAAACGACTCTGCAATATTTGAATATAGTCATGCAGGCTAATTGCCCACAAGAGCAGAAAGAAAGAAATACAGTAGAATTCAGAGCTCTATTGTGTTGTTTATGTCCCTACTTGTCTTTCGCGCCAATCAAAATAAAATCTGCAATATCTGCAGATTATGCCTGGTTATGTTGACTCAAAAAGAAGAGTAATCAAGCTAGTTCGGTATCGTGCCATAATTAGTGCTAATACAATTTTATGTGGAATTAAACGTCAAAACAGTACTTCCGCGGAAAATAATGCATCCGTCGTTCTTCGTCTTCCTGAAGCTGTGAACTACCGATCTCGGCAACAGGACTTTTGGGTCCACAAAACATCACGCTCAGTAGAAAATTCTCCTTTTCCACCAAAAGTACTGGAAATTATTTATTTTTCAAACAGGTCGGGTGGTGATGCGTGTTTGAGTGTAGGACCGTTGACTGGGCAATGGTTTGTGCCAAGAGTGCAGTGCTGCCTTTCATGCTGCCTGCGACGAGTATTGAAATTTGAATATGGTAAAAATAAAATCAAGTAACACTTAGAATTATTTTAAACTTGGGCTTTATTCAGGCATTTAGATTTTGAACGTACCTTTTATTCATTGCCGTCTTCGATGAATGAACGACTTGGCCAGGGGGCCGCGCTGTCCGCGGACGCGGCTTGACAGATAAGGTCGCGAATGCTTTTCACAAATCTTTAAAGAACAAGGATAAAAAAATAAAGACGTTTACAAATCTTTACGTTGTTGGCAAACGTCTTGCGAGAGTTGTAGTATTTTAATTATGCCTAATAAATTAAATGCATAGGACTAATTACGCAACTTTTTAAATGTATTAAGAACCGAAATGTCAATTGGAACATTGTAGAGCTCATTGAGAAACACCCGAATTAGCTGTTTGCAACGTGATACGGCTCGCGTGGCTTTCATCTCACCTGTAATAAAGCTTATGAATCATGACAAAATATCCCGTGATAAAGCGCCTGCCCCATCATAAACTAAATTTCGAATACCCGCGATTTGTTTTTATAGGCGAAAAAAAAAGATGCATGCAAAACGCGTGCCCCACGCTTTATTTTTATCAGGCGCTCTGTTTCATACATAACGTTTTTTTTTGTTTCTTTTTTCACCTACTAGATATTTGAAAAAAAAAAAAAACGTGAAAATTAACGCAATTGCGTTTTGTGGATGCGAGCTATACGGTCAGGCTTGGATTAGGATCAAGAAAGAACGCGACTAAAAACCAACTGATTACCTAAAATTTAATAATGAGCTTGTTAATTATAAAATAAAACGACATAGTTTATTTAGAACGTTGTTGGGCGTAATCAAAAGCAACTAAATTGTTAAGTGAAAATTAACGCAATAGCGGTTTGTGTAGGTGAGCTATGTGGCCAAGCGAAGATTAGGTTTAAGAAAGAGCGCAACTAAAACCGACAGATTGCCTAAAATTTGATAATTAACCTTTTAGTTGGGAAAGAAAACGGCATAGTTTATTTAGAAAGTTGTTGGCCATAATCGAAAGCCACCATACCAACGCGCGTACACCAATATATGGCATCCTGATAAGGCGTCCTCCTCTCTTGGGAGCGAAAATATAGTTCTGATTTGATGTCGCCACCATCTCCGCGTGGCACAGCTCAACGCCATGAAGCCAAAGCGATAAATCATGCGCATCGCTGTGACAACGCCACTGTAGAAGGGGCCAGGAGCGTGGCGGCCGAAAAGATTGCGGCAACACGATTCGCGTCCAAATTTGGGTTTTTAGGACGCCGTGAACTACTTCACGTGCATTACATCTCTCTAAAAATGAATGATTTGGTGTTTTTGATGACTACAGATAAGGCAAAAACCGCAATTGCGTAACTCTGACGTCTTTTTTTTAGAAAGATTTCTAGTTGTTAAAAAAATCACCCTGTATAAACACAATTGTAAGGGAGTGTTTTACGGCCGGCGACATCATGACACGGAAGAAGTTGACCACGGATTATCCACAGCCACTGTTTTTTTCGTACGAGAATGAGCAAACATTTGATACCAAATAAAATAGATTTAGCATTCACCAAATTCGGCTTGTTTACTTGATTCAGATCGATATTTGATCTTATTACGCTTATTTTGTACCCGCACACGTCTACTTTATTTCCTATTGAGTTACAAGTGATAATTGCATTGTTTTTCGTCGTGTAAGGTTATTAACAATTTATTATGAAGAAATTATAGACGATCGGAGCTATACGATTATGCGGGGCGCATTGGAAGATATTCAAAATTGTTTTGAGTACACAAACAACTTCTCAAGCTTCTTGCTGTTAGGGCCTTTCCTACACGCAGTACCAATAATAAAGCCAAAACTTTATAGAGGAGACCATCTCAGTCGACTCAACGCACAAACACGACGTGAAGCGCGTAGTGCGTACGTTGGAAAAGAAATACCGGCGAGCGAACCATAGCGTCGAATGTCCAGGCATCAAAATGTCCGTGCACCGAAATATCCGCGCAACGAAAAGTCCCACACCGAAAAGTCTTTGCGGCAAAAAGTCCGTACACTGAAATGTGTGTGCACCAAGAAGTCCGCACCGAAATTCCCTACAGCAAAGCGCTCTATACCGAAAAGTGCAAGACCCACCACGGATGTTATCCTCCGTCATATATGGAGCGCAATCCCTGAGATACCGAAACACGCCGCTCGTACTTCCCGTTGTCGCCATGAATTCGCGTAAACAACAAAAAATGCCAAATTAGATCTTTATATTAAAATTGATACTTCAATGACTACCTCTTTGAACAAAACAAGTTATTTGTGCCCTCACAACAGCGAGAATCGTCCTCAAAACCAATGCTAAAAAAAGCCAATCCAACTCGTTGGGAAGAGCAAGTGCCAAGCTGGCTCAAAAGTCAAAACAGCTTCTCGGTTGGTTTAGCTCCTTGTCGCAGGTGTGCCGGCTGGCTTCTGGATAATCTTTTCAAATCTTTCAAGCTTTAATTTACCCCACCCCAAACTTGCCCCACCCCCCCAAAAGAAAAAAAAAAGAAAACAGCCGGCAAAAAAAAAAAAAAAAAGGCAAGGAGGAAACGAGAGGCGATTTCCTTCTTTCACAGTGGCGAGAAAGAAAGTGGGGGTCGCGAGTTCCTTTTCTCTGCTTGTGGGCCGGCCTTTAACCCATATCCTGGCACAACTGCATAGCCCTTTGTTTTATTTTACTCTAAGTTACATTTTTGATATATTAAAGTTTGTACAAATGGCCTCGCCGGCCTCATCCGAAATCACTCCTTTGGGAGCGAGAGCAAACCATCCTTCCTTATCTGTCAACAGTAGCTTCCGACCCTCTTCTATGCAAAACTATAAAACCCTACTCATATTAGGCCATAGCTTTGAGACTACTTGTCAACCGCTCCTGCACCCTCCAAAATACCTCTTTCCCTATCCGCTTCTTCAGCTCTGGCAGCCACATTCCAGACTAAGGCCCCGAACGCATTGTTTGGCAAAGAATTGGCAACAGGTTTGACACGTGTCGGGGACAGATCACTAGTTGCATTTTATGGTTCGCGAGTCACGTCGATTTCTGTTTATTCAAAATAATTCAGTTGAGAGTCAGCGCTTTGTGTGTGTACTTAGTCTTCCTGTGTCCTTCGTTTATTTTCTGGCGCTTTGTATTTTTATTGTTTACTTGTACAACCGACTGGGCCAACTTTCCACCGCATTAAATGAACTATAAGTAAATTACTTACTTATTTAAGTATGTAATTATTTTCTTACACAATTACTAAAAAATGTAAGGGATTACAAGTAATTTCGTAACATCTCACAGATCACGTACAACGGCGCTTGCATCTAGCATCAAGCGCCAATGCAGCCTTCGATCATGCACGAGCCACGGTCGTTTATGAGAGTGAGTCAGCATCTACTCACACGCGGTAACGGAGCGCCTGAAAGGACAAAATAAGCTTGAATAAACGAAAAATGCAGCTCGCGTTGTGCTAGAAAAATGATAAAGATGCTTAACCTGTAAAGTCCCTGCTCTTGTTATTTTCTTTGTTCAAAAATGTTTATCCGCCAATGAAATTTTGCCAACTTAGCATCCCTGAGCAGCGTAAAAAAACGCAATGAAGCGGAACCCAAACTTGACCGAGAAATATTAGGTTTTATTCGATCGAGGCTTTGCCCAAACTAAAGAGATCCAGATCTCTCCTGATCAAACCGGAAATTAGAGTATCATGGTCATCTCGCAGACGCAACCGACACGCAAAAGAAATACACACACCAACTCTAATTAACCCATGGACAAAACGGTTATGAATGCCTGACGCACTCCCAGCCAAACTAAATAAAATGTAGCCCTGTTTTTTTAAAATATCGTCTGTAGTGCCGCAAGTATCGTCAACACGCGCGGCCCCACGAGCACCCGTGGCCGAGCCGCGGCGGTTCCAACACAATTCCGTATTCTATTATTATTAATACTAGTAATAGTATTCCAGTATTACCAGTGTGACCGCAGCTTGAAGAGATTGTGGCATGGGTGATCGTTTTTGTCGTCGTGCTTTCTCTTGGCAAAGATCATTGTGGGCTCGGCCAGCGAACCATTTTATTAAAGAAATGCAATAAAGCAGCCACGTATCCACGATAAAAAACAAAATGAGCACAGGATATGAAATCTTTCAAGAATTCGTGAGATTTGACTCGTTTATTTATTCCGTACTTTCTTTACTTGTCATGTCAAAAATCGACAGCATCCCGCGAGGCCATGAGAAGGTGTGAGCAGCGTCCGTGCAAACCTGTCCCCTACACCTTGATGTCGCACTTTCCCTTCTTGCCGTGCGTGTAGTCATCGATGAGCTTGGTGAAGAGGGCCACCCTGGTGTGGAGGATCGGGTGCTCGCCCACCTTGCAGCCCTTGGCCCCGCCGGACACAACGCCGTACAGCGTCCACAAGTTGTTCAGCTTGCCGACCACCGGGGCTCCGAGGTCGTGCTGACGACGAAAAGAAGAGGGGGACATGATTAGGATACTGGTGGTCACTTCTTGAACTCCAGGTTCCATCATGGCTAAAGCAAGCGAGCTCGCAATTATTTATTTAATCTGAAAAAAAGAAAGTCTCTTCTAGGGTGCGATTGCACGATTTGCTCGGGTTCCAGATAGCTTCCAACCGGTGGGTTTCTCGGATTGTTGCTTAAGATCATCTTGATATCGTGGTTCTTTATGAAATATATTTTATCTGAATGCAACGCCTCCTATAACAATTATTTCATTCGTTCCTGTTTCGTCGAACTTTGCAATGTACGGTGTCAACTGAATGCACGTTTTCTCGTAAAGCGCAAGGTAAATCGCACGCATCACTTTTTTATTATATCCCATAAATATTAATGCTATTTATGTGACACTGTGAACGCACAGAGGTCCTCTCACTTTGGTCACACAAAACTGTTTAAATACATGTTCGATGCATACATATGTAAGATGTAAGTATTCCTTTGAAGGATGTGTCAGCAGAAAATTCTGTCATCATGTATGCGGTGAACACGGCGTCCTTCGTGTGGCGCAGGGGCAGTGCAACCGCGGCGTAATGCGGCGTGTGTTTCTTCGTTAACAACAAGGTATACATTTCATACGCCACCGAGATTTTCATCCGATCTCCCCCTCATTATACTGACGACCAATGTCACACGGCCAGCGCAAAGGTGTCCGTATCACGTCTAGGCAGGCGGTGTGACATAAGTAAGAATTTTTATGAGCGCAAACGTTGGTAGATTGAAGGAGGCTCAGTCGTTACCTAATTAATAATTTTACCCATTCTCGAGTTTTTTTTAACCAAACGCTCTTCTCATGGTGGCTATTCCTCACCTTGCAGGGCGATCCTACGTCGTACACGGTGCAGAAGACGCTGTTGGGCACCTCCTCGTCGTGCTCATTGTAACACGCGTTGTTCTCGACGGACTTCACCCTGGCCTGCTTCAGACCGGAGGTCAGGTCGTCGCCGGCGTGGTCGTGGCCGTGCTCGTGGTCGTGGTCGTGGTGGTCGTGGTGGTCTAGAGTGAGACACCGGATTGCCCAAGGCGTTAGCAGTCTGGCCTCGTTGATGCGTAGTTGTGCATAGTACCCTTATAGTCACCAACAAGCTGAGAACGGCAGGGAAGGTTTTCAATTGTGCCGCCTCCAGCGCGAGCTTCCTACCTTCGATGGTGCTTCGGCATCTCACGGGCCTCGAGTATGCACGCGCAGCTAAAACAAGGTGGAAATCAACGACCGCAAGGTAGACGCCGTCCGGCCAAAAGAGATTCCCTGCCGTTCTCACTTTGTTAGTGACAAAAGATCATTCGAGGAACTCTAGTTACAGGGGTGTGAACTTTTTGCGTTTATGCTTGAGCCTAACAGACCGGAGAAAAATGAATATTCTTAAGAACCGCTACTGAAGGTTGCCTTGGGAAGTGTGGGAGTCATCTTACCGTGGTCATGGTCCCATCCGGTGACATAGAGCGAGAGGTCCTTGGGCACGGGGGCGTCTGATTTGGGCATGCAGGCGGGCTGGATGTAGTCGCCCAGCGGCACCTTTTCTTTCAATGTCAAGATGGCGATGTTCGACTGTTCATTCACAATAAAACAAAAAAAAAAAATCATTTAGCGCTTAACGCATCGACGAATCCAGTGAAGTGTCTCTGGAAGTGTATATAAGTGCAGAATGGACGTCATAAGTCGGCTCTTGAATGAAAACTTCATGCGTCAGAAGACTAGTACATCCCGCAACGTATTCATTGCTTGAAGGTACTAAACCTTTGAAAACTGACCTTTTTTATCAAAACATGGAGTTCGGCCATGTTTACGTTCAAGGTTAACTATATTTAGCTGATGTCACATACATTATTTAAATATTTAGACTTTTACTACCACATTTATATAGATAATTGTTCAATAATAATTCATGCGACGGTGTTTGTGCGCACAGTACAACAGTAAACGTAAATTATATTGTGAAGTCCACGCATCAATCGAGAAATTAAAGCACATTTTTTACCATTATAAATAAACTAGGCATCGCAGAAAGTTTAAACTCCATGAGAATCTAAGGCTAGCTGTGTTGATACCCATACATTTTGTTTTGGGGCATATTTAGGTACACATATGTAAACCAACCCTCGCTGTTCTAATACACAAGTGTTTTATGACGAGAGCAGAGCAGACATTTGCTTCTAATGCATTGGCTTCTCCAACATGGTCGCAACTGGCGAAAGATGACCACAATACCAGACGCTCTCTATCGATAGACATTCGAAGCTTGGAAATGAGGCCTTAGCTAGCCGTTGAGGGATGCAACAAGGAACGACTGTCACTTAGGAGTGCAAGCATGAACTAGTGGAAAGGGACACCGCAACCAGAGGTAGAGTGTTCTTAATCTACAGTTTACGAAATTTTCTTCACAACTGTTAGAATGGCACCTACGTCGTGTCCTCCGTCGTAACCCTTGTACAGGCAGGCTTCGGCGATGGTTGTGGTCACTTGACCCTGGCTCTTGCCGTCCCTCGTGTGAGAACCCAGCATGACTTTCACGTCTCCAACCTTCTGGTGGCGCCTGGGAGAACAAGTGATGGTGTTCTTGACATTCGAAAAATGCTCCATAGGGCAACCCGTTGTTCTCATACAAACCGGCGTTAGCACACATAAGGTGTAGAAATTGCGCGTGCGCAGAACCCAGAGGCACACGAGGTAAAGCGCTTGCGTGTGAGCAATGCTGAGAGCAGCTTCAAAATTGCGGTGTGATGTGATAGCTGTGTTTTATTCTGCGGATAAATGCAAGGCATCTAGGCGCCGCCATCTTGGTTCTGGTCTTTGTATAGATCGTCTGATCGACAAAGGGTTTACACACACACGGTGGCCAGATTTGCTATTGCATTGTGGCTACTGGCAAAAGTCTAAAACCGCTATTCTTATGTCACGTATTCGTCCCGCACATATAAAATGCGCACTGCCGATGCAGCTTCTAGATATTTTAATAATTTCATCGTTTGCTTTAACATACAGTCTGCTATGTCATCGAGTTGTCGAGAAATGGCAATGTAGCCTGTCTTACTCGCATAAAAATAAAGAATTAAACGTTGCATTGCTCACTGCCGTCGCGCTCAGCCAACACCTTCAAGGTATGACATAAAGATCAAATCAGATAAGGAGTGTATACGTGTATTAGATACTGGCGCTGACAAATTGCTGGATAGTGTACTTCGATTAGTAGCAATTAAGAGCCTCTTTTCTGGGTGTTGCTCTTGGTCACTAATCTTGCGGAGATGTGCGTCAGGGTGAGTAGACGCGAGACAGAGAAGTTGTAAGTGTGCGTATGGATGCAGTACTGCTCGTTCCTTTGAGCTGCGACGCAGGGTAGCGGGTTGGAGTGTAAAATAAAAGGAATGGCGTCAAGATGGCGACTGCTGTAGCAGAGGATGCAGGTGGAGCCATACTGAACCGAGGCTATGCACGCTTGGGCGCTGAGACCGCAGTATTCGGGCGATGACGAAAGGCACATCTCATCTAGAGTAACGTTTGGCCTCTGAGAATTAATGTCGGGCGGATATTTTTGGTCTTTTGTTTAGTTGACGTGCTGAAAATTTGACTGCAGATTGCTAACAATATGCAGACGTATTGGCTGCAGAGGAACTGTAACCCTCAGTCGTTAGTTTTGTTTCGCGGGCGGCAAATGAAGTAGATATTAGCGCGAACAAACAATAAAGTAGAACTAAGCGTGTCCAGGTTCCTTATAATGATCAAGATAAAACATGCACTGCGTGTTTTTTTAAGACTAGATTTCTTCTTGCCATATTCTTCCCGCTCAATATGCTTTATAATGGACGTTTGTTGATTTTACTTCTAAAACAAAGGTACACAAAAAAAGAAAACTATATGTCTTGTCTACCAGCTCACCAGAGGCACTTGGCGGCGGTGAGGACGTGCTTGTCTGAGATGAGGACACCACTACAAGCGTGGTGGCCGTCGGCTCCGATGAGCTGCGCGTGCCACGGCCAACTTCCGGGTACGGCCTCTTCACCGCCCTCGATTCTATCCCCTGCCGCCAGCCTGGGCTTGATCTTGGGGTTCCCGCACACTCCTGGGAGAATTCCCACGACAAAGATCTTTGTATTGATATTTTTTATGTTATTAATTCTCTTATACCTTTTAACCGCTCATTGGGCTTTACATAAGGAGGGAAAATAAAACACAAAATTCAAAGAAAGTAAAAACGATCAGACGACGAAAAAGAAGCTCCCAGGTTAAGAAAGCTCCAAGTGCTCCATGGCTCTAAAGCTAGAAGACTGCGGATTATTAAGAATGTTATCAGAAATGATATTCTATGCAGAAATGAGTAATTTCAGAAGTTAAAATTTTAAATAGGTTTGTCGCTGGTGTGACCATTAGACATATTTCATCAACTTTGCGGAGCATGCGCGAACTTGAGCAAGCCGCCTTGGATGCCGCCATAACATTAGTCTACGGCTTGTTTTACGCTTTCACCCTGAAGTTTGTTCTCATTGTTTGAGGAAGAATATTTTACATTATCCCCAAGGGTTCACTGAATCCATTTGGAGCAACGAATCACGGGTTAATTAAGTCGTTATCGAGGCGTGTATGCTGTTCAGCATGGGCAGCAATGTTGGTGGCGGGTTTTATTTTGCATGTGCGTGCTGTTACGGTTATAAACACGCTTCAGGAAGAAACAATCAATGTTGCCCTATCTCTACTGCCCGACGTTCGTCGATGTTTTATTGGTCGCATTTTTGTCGATGTTTTTATTGTTCGCATTTTGACTCCCTATCCTGGCAATAATGTCTGGGGTATGTTTATAAACAAGGCACTAGCTTACACTTTGGAAATGTGGTTCACCGATGTTAGTTTATTTCATATTTTTCATCGTTGCTTTTACTTTTGATTCAGGTTTCAAAACATTTAGTGATATCTGCTCGCCAACCTTGTTCTTAGGACGTGTGAGGCGTCTTACCCACGTGTGCTTGGCGAGCGAGCAAAGGCTATGAAAAAAGGCTCCATAATTTCGCTTTGTGTGACTAGGCGTGGGCAAGAACTTAAAAAAAAAAAAAAAAACTGTAAATGTACAGAAGAATGGTGCAGCAAGGGTAAAGACCGGTCGGGTGTTTCACGATTGAGTGCCGACCGTGACATGCCGCATCGGGACGCAAACACGCAAGCAGGATCTTACGGCACCTCAAACGCGGAGTCAACCCGCGGGTTCTGCCAGTTTTTTCCTCTTCTCAGCAACAGCGTGATCAGGATCCGTGTGAGTTTGGTTTCGCGCTGTCAACCCTAATTGCGTAACTCTCTCGAACAAGCGAGTACTCGTTTACCGTCCCATGCTGCATGCTCGGCGAACTTTGGCAATTCATTCTTCTCCCAACTGCCGATCCTTTGGAAAGCTATGAAACCCGACATGCTTGTGTCTGGTGCTGAGGTTTCTGAGCCAGGGATGCAACACGTAAAACAAACCATAGCGGCGGAACAAACAACAAAAATTTCGATGAAGCGACAATGCTATTGCTGTCCCTGCGAGGCTGGCCGTCACCCAAATCTTCAGTGCATCTCCGCCCGCAACCGCACTAACCTCGCTGCGCATAGACTAAAGGTCCCAGAATGCGTCACGGCAGCGGCGGCGCGGCGAAACTTGCTGGTGAAATCGGTCTATTGAAGGTTCTGAGAATTTTCAGTGAATGTCGATATGTGATATTTAGCCGAACAAAATAAATGTTTTTTTTTTGTTTTTTTTTTATAGGGAATGACGGTTTTTGGCAATTGAACGAACGAAGAAATATCTCTTTGGTTGGAAAGGCCCATTCGTTTGAAAGCGAATTTCCTTCTTCATTTTGTGTAACTCTGTTCATTACTCTAGTCCGTTGCAACTCGAGAAGGTAGGGCGATCGAGGGAAAGAAATGCCGGGGAGGAGGAAGCTGACGGAATGTCAGAGAGGAGAGGGGAAACCTTCTTTTTTCTCCAGCGTTCCGCCTGCTTCCTCCTCCTCGGGATTCGTTTCCCTTGCCCTACCTTAAGTTGCAAGGGACTACAGAAAGGAAACGGAGCATTCGAATTTGAAGAAAATTGTCACCACCCGCTCTAATTTTTTTCTTTTTTATTGAGACAGCATGATCCAGTCTTATTCAACCACATCCACCAGACGTATTTTATTTGGTTTTTGAAGTTACTCTTTAGTTACATAGAAACCAATGTGGCTTAAATGTTTATTGAAGTGTTGCGAAAAAAGGCCTCCGTAGCTGCTGCACCATAAAGCCCGCAAGAATAGTCATCGTCAATTAAGCTCGGAGGAGTCAATGAACCGACATCCCTCAAACAGTGTCAAAAACACATTTGCTTACTCATTCAGTTCATATTCTCAGCTGGGCAAAGCATTCATAATGTATGGTCTGCAGGGGGTACACTTTAAAATTGACTTTGTGTCCTGGTGGCGTAGCAAGAAAACACAGGGAGAAGACACTATCTAAAATAGTGAATCAGCAACTTGAATAAGACTAATTCTTCCCAAGTGTGTCTGCATTTGCTTGGGCTCTGAACAAAATGGTTCGTTCTGTCATGACAGGCGTTAGTGCTCAGTACGAATATCAAGTTTGCGAACGTTTGTACGCCACTTTGCGTTATTATTGTTCGCTTGTAAGGTGAGTGTGCTAATTTAATTTACGTGCTCAGAAAGGAACGTGTTGTACAAAAACTTAAATAATCGAAAGGTTCCCACAAAATGCGTCTGATACCTTAGGTGTAGATGATAAAAAATTATAAAATGAAATAACGAAAGTTCGGGTTCAATGTATATAAGAACACTCTCAGTCAAAAACAAGGTCTGGATGAGAAAAAATAATTCCTGCAGCCGTTTGCCTGAACCAAATGAGCTTAAGGTAATCGGATTTTTCAAATATTTTTTTCATACAAAATGCTCGACCACTTCACTGAACAAAACCCCAAAAACTTCGAAAACAGGGAATTTATAGTTGGACCGTATACCACACAGAAACAACGGATATCCACTTACCCCAGTAATAAGGAAAAACTAAGTCCTATTTGATTTTATACTGCCTACCCTGTACACCAGACCTAGCTTTACGTGGTCTTAAATTTACTGTTTTGTTACATAGCTACTACTGTGGCTTGATTGTTTAGATAAGTCTCGCACAGTGAAGCCTCCATAAGTGCTGTACCATATAACCCGCAAGCACAGCCACATTACTTAAGCTTGGAGGAGAAACTGTGCCGACATCAATCAATCATTGAAGGTGCGTAAAAAATTTGGTCGTTTATTGAGTTCAAAATCCCACCTGGACAATGCACTCGTAATTTGTGGTCTTTATGGAGTACACTTTTAGATTGTCTTCTCGTCCTGGTGGGGTAGCGAAAAAAACCTCGGTACGAGAATCAATCTAAAGTAGTGAAAGAGTTAATTGAAGAAAGTGCATTCTTGCTCTGAGGTTCCAGTTTCTTGGGCTTCAAACAAAATAGTTCGAAGAGTTATGACAGTTACTAGTGCTCACTAGATACATCTAGAGTGCGACGGTTGTACACAATTTTGCGTTATAATTGCTTTTGTACGAGTGGACAACTTACTAGAAGGGTGGAACACAAAATGGAGGCCCGGAAGTTTGGGCCCTCGTCAGGTTCCATTAAGTGTGGTAATGTAATTTACTGCCCTAGAAAATAATTTATTGTACGGAAGCTTAGGAAGTGGAAAGATAGACTTCCCCAAAAGGCGGCGGCTGATGTTTCCGCTGTAGGGGATAAATAATTTATCTATTAAAACAACGAAAGTTTGGCTTCAACCGAAGACAAAATCTCAATTAGAAAGAAGTGTTCCGTCCCGCAATATGCTTGAACCGAGTGAGCGTAAGTTACTCGCAATCATTAAATATATTCTCCAAAAAAAAAAAGAACTCTAATGCTTCTACTTGGACTGTATACCATAAAAAAAAAAAAACAGATATCCACTTACCCGTGTAATGGGCCACGGCTGACCCAACCAGCAACGTTAAACAAATGATGGCTTTCATCTTGACAGATTGCGCTTCTGCTTTCTGACTGCTGGAGCCGTGCGAAGGTTTCGTTCTTATATTGCAAGCGCTATCAGTAGGTTCAATGGTTATGGGAGATTCCCACGCCGTCAGACACGCATTGATTGTTTGCCTGCATTGATAACATGGCCCTTTTCTCCGTTCACATTCAAGCTGACAGTGCGGCGGACGGTAAGCGCGCGGAGGACGAATCAAACGCTTCGTTTTCATCGGCTTACCCCGATTTCTACGTGAGGGTGTGTGGCGGGAGCGTGATACGTGGGCAAAGACTGGCCTGCGAAAGGTCTAGCGAGCCGTAGCCTTCACCGTACTGTCAGCTTAGGGGTGTATGTAGCATAATATCTCCGTGGATACGAAGAAACGATTGACCCACGACTATGCTTGCAAGCCTTATCTGTGCTCTGATTATGGTCAACGTCTTCTTTTTGTTCGCGGACATCGAGCAATTTAAGAATTCCCAGACTGACTGCGTGCCGTTTTTGCCCCTCTTCCCTTCATACGAATTGTTTCCTATCATCTCCGACCGTTTTATTCCCGTAGACAATAGTTTTGCATGTGCCTGAGGGCAGTGTAATGCGATAAGCCGTGATGTAATTTTTTTTTAAATTAATGGATTCGTTTAGTTGTGCAAAAAAAGCGGACAATTCTATCGAGGAATTTTAGTCGTCTTTGTTCATAAACAGACGCTTATTATATCAACTTTTTAGAAATCACCGACAGTCAAAGAAAACCAATCAAAATCTCAATTTCATCAAAGTCAGTCTTCTTTTTCAAAAGACAATATATTATTGGTCTACACAAAATCGTTTAAAACAAAGTTTCTTGTTTTTTTTTTTCACCATAAGGTTTTTAAAAAAAAGTAATTGAAACCCGCTTAAGAATTCTCAAAATAATGGTGTTTATAAAAAAAATAGTTGAAATTTTTTCTAATATATTTGCTTGAGCTTTTGGCATTAATTTATGAAGAATTAAAAAATCTATTTTAATTTTTTTTACTTGAACTAGAAACGTGACAACACTAACGTAATGCGCTGGTCTACTAATATGACCAATATTTTTTTGCGAACAGGATTTTTAAGTGGGACTGAACAGCAGACTTATTTGTTAACTTAGTTAGTTTTGTGTACATCATTTTCGGGTGTACAAATCACGATTTTCTTCAAATTTGGGTCGTGGCGTTTAATAGAACGGTGCGACTCATGTAGGTTTCTTTTTCATAAGAAATCACCTCAGATTGTATTTAAAAGAGGAGGAACGGCACAGTACCCGCCGAATTTCCGCAGCCGACGAGACTCCGGGCGTCATCCTTCGCATCACTTCATAACTGTTTAAGTTATATACCAACTTTGTTTTTATAATAAAAATGTTTTTATAAGATTTTTGACTCGTACGACAGTCGAAATTTTGAAGTTGAAAATAGGATACTCTATAAAGCTGCCAGATGAATGGGTGTTTGTTAAGTATTTTATCCTCCTGAGACAACACATGCGCAGCAGCACACCATTCGAAGTGTTCCGGAATCATGGGTCAGGCGTGTGGTTCAAGAACACGTTCCGGAACTCTACTGAATGATCGCTCACCAGCTTCTCGTAGATTATGTGTGAATAAACAAACAAGTACAATTTCCTGGATTGTGCGGAACTACGCCTCGCCTGTAGATTTAACATTTATGGGCGATAAGCCACCTAGCGTATTTTAGTGCGCATTAAATTGCTGTCAAAATACATTAATATATACATTTTGAGCTCGTATTCTGTGTGGCCATATTTCAGTTTACCTGCACACTCCAGGAAGCAATCCAGAAGTGCCGGACCTAAGCCGAAAACGTCACGTGTCAAGGTTACAACCAACAGTAAAACTAATTCTGACACTTGTTTGTCAATTTAGGCTAACATTCCTAGAAAGTCTAACCAAAGAACATGGGGTCCGGTTATACCGATAATCGTCCCTGGAGAAGGACAACAAGGGAGGCAAGGTTTAAACTAAGACTTCCAAACACTGCTAGGTTACTGGTGCGTGACTGAACAAAATTCGCCTGTTCCTGGTATCGAACAAGAAATAGCTCCATTTCCAGTGGGGCGCTTTACGAACTGAGCTAACCAGGAATTAGACGTCAGTAGATAAACAGGATTTAACAGCCGGCACCGGTCTAACACTAGCAAGGGTGAATGAACTGCATTTTAATGTTATGATGTTATTGAAAGTAGAGCAAATGTGCAGCAATGCGGACAAGAACAACGATAATAATCACTGGTTGAGGGGAACAAGGGGGACAAAGGACAAATATCAATTTACAAACACCACTAGGTGACCATTGCACGACTGAAACAAAAATCGGCCTGGTCCTGGTATCAAACTAGAAACCTGACCTTTTTTGGAGTTTTGTTCATTGCCAGACGAGAAACCAAATGTTTACTCAGAGCTGCTCTACTTCCGTGAACCCACATAAAATACCCCCAAATGATGATGATATACAGGTCGTATTAGAATTGGACTAAATATCGAGGCGCGCTTCATTTTCTGAGTTATCTCTTAAAAGGAGCGTCTGGTAAAAGCCCATTTCGTGATTTAATGAAAAAATCAACACTTGCGCATACTATATCATGCGCGCAATAGAGTCACTGTCAAGTTCACGAACGCAAGGTGTGGCGAGTCTCGAGCAGATACCTCGGCAGCCAATGAGATTGCAGCATCAGCCAATGAGAACGCCGAACAACCAATCAGGAAGCAAGAAGCGTGACTATAATAGACCACGCCCTAAGTTACTCAAGCTGTCAGTGACTAGATTCATAACACTGCAGCCAGGCAAGGCCTACGAAAAGCTGTGATAAAAGATGCTTCTCTTGATGACTCGTCACTATATCTTTGTTTAAAGAGAGGTGTAAAGAGAGCACTGTATACCATGGCGTTCCTTTTGCCTCTGAAGGCTACGATGCGGACGGAGCTAATAAATTTGAACGACCATTCGTGCAGCCGTACTCTACGTACTCACAAACAAATTCTGCTCCGAACAAAGAATCGTGCACGATATTTTAATGAAAAAAAACTCTTATAACTGAAATTCACACAACAGGAGATGATTGCAGATTTATTGTTAGTGTACCTAAAGATTTTTGTTTTTCTTTCGTGAGTACCTGGGGACAAGGTGAGCGAATAATGTGCAAGTATTTTATAGTGTGCACAGTGAAAAAAGAAGTAAAAAAATCAGTTTTGAAGGAAAATCAGGTCTTGCATTTGTATATCAATGAGGACGTGGCAGACCTGCGTCGTTGCGTCAATGGTTCCAGTCAACAGATCAAAGGATAGCCTTTGCCTCTTATCATTACGTGATTCAAAGCAACTGCGGCGTTATTTATGGAAGTGTAGGGTACAAAGGGACAGGTGGATACTTCGCTGTTTCTATAGACAGAAGGGAGTCATTCTCCGAAAGCCGCTTATCTCACTTATTTCACATAAGTGCGTTGTGATTTCCACACGCATGTAAATCATGCACTTACGTCGCTATACACACTTAACGCCGCAACTCGGTTACCGCAATATTGGTCTAGTGCGAGCTACTCAAAGCGAAATCGGTCACGGCAGTGGCTGGAATGTCTTCATCGGTTCAGTTGTGATCGAGGAGTCAATACTTTACCACGTAGTTCGACCGGTAGGCCCATGAATAAATCACAAAACGTGGCAAAAATGAACCATCTCGTGGCAGGTGGTGTGAACTTTGGGGATCACTCTACACATGTTAAAAGCTCTACTTTGATTTTCGCGTGTGCGTTTACCTTGCCACTGAGAATTACAAAGGTCAGCTGTTTTGGTAAAAGCCAAAACAGCAGAGCTTTGTAATTCTCAGTGGAGGAAAGAATCGCCGCTCAACTTTTTTCCCCACCATCGGATGTTTTGTTGACAGAGTAAACACTTTAGAATCGGTGGTCCAAAGTGACATTACTTAATTACTCCCCCACCCCCGAGAACCAAAATAAGAATATTAGCCGCCGGCGTAAACAACCTATTTCACATACCTATTTTTTTTCTTATGAAAAAAAAAAGTCTAATCAGAAGCCGGGATTTAGCTTTGCAAAACAAACTACCGACTTTTCTTAAAAAAAAGAACACTTTAATTGAGTAGATTGTTATTTTTGTTAAGTCAAGTTGGCATAGTTCGTTTACCACGTCTTTTGCACATAATGCGTTCCAAGCAGAGATAAAAAAAAATCTTTCTTAAAAGTGTAACGCCATAAGTGTTTACTTGCCACTAAATTCATCGGGAAAAATGTAATTGGTGTATAACTGTACGACAGTTGAATTTGCCTTGTAAATAAACAGGAAAGTTAAGTCAGAAACAGGGGTCCCTGTTTTCGGAGTTCATTTTTTTTTTTTTTTTTTTAAATTCGGAGGGTGTTTTTTGAAGTCTATTTGTTGCCCCACATTCGGAGTTTTTCGTAATTTATTTTTCTACAATTTTAATATTCAAAAGTTTGGAGACTAATATTGATGACTTCCCAATTCAAAAAGAAATATACCCGGGCCTAAAAGTGCACCAAGTTCATTAGGACTCGCTCATATCAAATAGTATTTCTCCAGTTGGACTCGCGCTGGCGCCCTTGCCATTGGCATGACTAACGGTCCTGAATTAAATTTAACTTCATTTACTAACTTTAAAAAAAATGTTTTCTTCAATAGAGGCCGATACTTTAAATTCAATAAACTCATGAACGTCGTCGTCTGGAAGCACGTTTCCTTCCCATTCCGTTCAACCTCGCCGCCTGATGAGCCTGTTAGGGTGCTCAAGTGATTTCAAGTGCCCCATCCGTCTCTAATCAAATGCGGTAGTTCATAGATTTTAGTCTTGTAAAAGCTATACGACTTTCCTCCTTTTGGAAGCTCAAATCGTAGATGTCAAACTTTAAAATGAAGCGGTGGCCTTTGTGGTGGCTCAAAAGTACAATGGCCCGTTGTCCTGAAAGGGACTTGGAGAAGATCAACAGCATACGTCCTTTTGTCAATGGTTTGAGATTTGAAAGGAAACTGCATGGA